GTTAGGTGATATCTCAAAGTAGTTTTGATTTGCATTTCTCTGATGATTAAGGATGATAAGCATTTTTTCATATATCTGTAGGCCATGTGCCTGTCTTCTTCAGAGAAGTTTCTCTTCAAGTCCCTTGCCCACCCTGAGATGGGATTACTTGTTCTCTTCTTGCTAATACGTTTGAGTTCTCTATGGATTCTGGTTATTGAACCTTTGTCAGAGACATAACCAGCAAATATCTTCTCCCATTCTGAGGACTGTCTGCTTGCTTTACTCACTGTGTTCTTGGCTGTGCAGAAGCTTTTTCGTTTGATCAGGTCCCAGTATTTTTGATGTTGCTTCAACTGCCTGGGGGGTCCTCCTCATAAAATTTTTGCACAGGCCAATTTCTTGAAGTGTTTTCCCTATACTTTCTTCTAGTATTTTTATAGTTTCATGTCTTAAGTTTAAATCTTTAATCCAGTGAGAGTCTATTTTAGTTAGTGGTGAAAGGTGTGGATCCAGTTTCAGTCTTCTGCAGGTCGCCAGCCAGTTCACCCAGCACCATTTGTTAAATAGGGGATCTTTTCCCCACTCAATGTTTTTAATTGGCTTGTCAAAGATCATATAACGGTAAGTAGCTGGGTTCATTCTTGGTTCAGGCTGAGAAATTTACAGTGAGAAAAATGGCCCAGGACCCCAGGCCACCTCTCTGTCTGCATTTGCCTCCTTCCCCACATGTTATGCAATTTCAGTCCCGTCCAGGGTTGGAGCAGGCCTAGGGATGAAAGTATTGTTATCATTAGAGAAATCCTTGGGAAGTGTAGGGGCAGGTCTTGTTTGTCCTGTTTAACATAATTCAGCCACTGTAGATGGAATTATTCTTCCGAAAGCCTGAACAGTTGTTCAAAGCAAAGATAGAACTATTCACTCATTCTTTCCTTCATTCCATAAATAGCTACCGAGCACACAATGTTGTGAGGGGAAATGCTTTATATCTCCCTGACTCTTCCTGATTGGTTTTAAAAAAGAAAAAGAAGAAGAAAAACCTAAGAGCAATGGAAAGCGCCAGAATACAACCATTGTGAAGTTTCTTCGTCTGCAAAACAGAGAGACAGCAATAGGACTTCACTGCGGGGGTTTTCATGAGGGGGGAAAATATGGTACATGGTGAGCACTTAGTTCTGTGCCTGGCATATGGCTTGTGTCCTACAAAATCAGTGAAGATGATAGTGGTGGTGATATTAAGGCAATAGTGATGATGCTGGTAATGGTGGTGGATTGGAAATAGTGATGGTGGTGGTGATAATGACAGTGGTGAGGACCATTACAACTGTGTGATGTAATGGTGGCGCTGAGGATGCTGATAGTGGTCGTGAGTTTAGTAAAAGTTATCAGGGTGATGGTGATGATCGTTTTGGTGGTGGGGATGTTGACAGCATGGCCCCTGCTTTCAGGGGGCTAACAGTTCAGACACTGCCAGTCATCACAATGCATTGTGGTCGAGAGCAGAGATATTTGACACATGCTGTGTTATAAGGCAGGTGGGGGAAATGACCTGCCAGATTGGATCAGGGAGGCTTCCTCAGGAATGTGATTGAGCCCTCCTATCTCTAAAGGAGAGTCCAAGCTCCGCAGGTAAATGCAAAGGAGAACGGCAGCCCAGACCCAAGAAGAGCAAGATCCCAGGTTAGAAGTGGTGACCACTTCCTCAGCCCTCCATCTGTCAATCCCCTGCAACCTGAGCACCCCATTGGCTGCCAAGTCCAGTGGGCACTTCTCTGCCTACTGAGCTCATTGTTCTTCTTCTCCCTCTGGACACTCTCTTTCTCCGTGGCCTCAGAATGCTGCCTTGTTGCTTCTCCTGCTTTTCTGGCGAGGCCTTCTTAAATCCCTTGTCTATTTCCACCTCTGAGGTTTTGCAGGTTATTTCTCAGCCTCCAGGTCTGCTCCCGCGCCATCCCATTCCCCAAGCCTGATGCTGCCTCTTCCATCTCTGTGGTGAGGATGCCCAGTCAGGTATCTCCATCTGAGGCTTCTGATGAGCCCCAGACTCATGTGTCTGAGTGCCGGCTGGATACTAAAGCCCTACGAGAGATCCAGGGGAGATGTTCAGTAGTAATAATCATATGAACCTCTTGTTCTGTGCCAGGCATTGTTCTAAGCACTTAGTTAAGTATTGACCCTTGCAGCCATCCAGTGAAGGAGAATTCAGTCATTATTCCCATTTCACAGATGCAGAAACTGAGACATAGAGACGTTAAGTAACTTGTCCCAGTTCACACAGCTAGTAAGTAGTGGAGTAGAATTTGAGCTCAGGAAGTTTCACTCCACATCTAATACCTCAAACACGACACTGCCTCAGTCTAGTGTTTGAAGGAGATGTCTGAGGCAGAAATAGAAATTTGGGAGCATAAAGATGATGTTTGAGTCGAAGAAGTTCATGAGTCACCAGGGAGAGTGTAAAGAGAGAGGCCCAGACTGAGCCTGGAAGAACCCCAACTTTTAAAGTCAGGAAGAGGAAGAACTGGGAACAGGCACCAAGAAGGTGTGACCAGAGGAACAGTAGAAACCTCAGGAGGGTGTGATGTCCTGGAGGCCAACAGCAGAGCTGTTTCAGGGGAGGGAGTGTTGGCAGAACAGACTGCCCTCAGGAGGCCTGTCAGCCGAGGACAGGGTGGCCATGAAATTTGGCAACATGTGAGACAGAGGTGAAATGCGTCCCCAAGAGAACCAGGTGGGAGAGGGGGCAGAACCATTCCCAGTGCAGATGACCCTTCAGTCTGGCATCCCAGTCCCCAAGTCCAGTCTCCTTCCCATCCCTAACAGTTACCCTTCCAGCCCCTCCCATGTACCCTTTGGAGAAGCTCCAGGTCAAGTCCACTTCGTTTCCTACTCTGTTACCTGCCATTAGTGTCTGCATCTTTAGGGCCTCCCTTTAGTACAGAGGGTCTTATCCTTATTTATATCATGGACCCTTTTGACAGTGTGGTGGAGCCTGTGGGTCTGCTGGTCTCAGGAAAGGGGGATGTGTGTGTGTGTGTGTGTGTGTGTGTGTGTACCTGCCTGTCTGAGGGTAGCTGCTCCTTTAACACCTTAAATAACAGAATCTACCAGTACGTCTAACAATTCCCATAATTTTCATGATCAAAAAGGACATGAGACTACTAGAAAGTGATATACTGTATATGGAAATGTCTGTGAATTCTATTAGTGATTCTCGAATACAGATTATCACTGAGAGAAAAATGGAGGCTTCTTCCATGCTAGGGCCCTGTCTAAGGGTAGCAAATACCTAAATGTGGCCATTCATCAGGATACCAGCCAGGCCCTCTTCTTCCTCAGAATGTGGGTGGTGATGCAACTTGTCTTTGTCATGTGCGGGTGGGCTGGAATTGCAGAAAGATCCACCTGTATGAATTGTACCTTTCACCCTAGAGTCATTTTCCTTATCTATAAAATGATTACACTGAACTGTGTAATCATGTCAATGAGATAATGTGTGTGAAGTACCCAGCAATGTTCCTTGCTCCAAAAAAAAAAAAAAAAAAAATATATATATATATATACAGTGTAATCCTCTTCCTCTCCCACTTCCTTTGCACAAGGGAGCACTAATTAAACTCTCCTCCTAAGATTTCCACTCTAGATTTCTACTCTGTGTGAAATCTGCTTACCCCAAGCAGGCATATATACATATGTATTCACATATATACACTTGTACATGTGAGGATGGCTTACGTTTTATATAAATGGCACACGTGCATAGCTTTTTTAGAGGTAACAACTGTCACCTCCCCACCGGCCAGAAGTGGTAGAGCAGATCTAGAAGATATGTCCTTCGTCACCCAAAACATCAGCATCTCCCGCAGAGCAGCAAGGGCAGGCAGGTTCCCATCCTTTGGTCAGCTCCTGTTATGCATGATGAATTACAGCTACATGTGTGTAAAGGAGACAAAAGCTGGAGGGCCAGGAGACTCAGGGAGTGGAGAGAGTTGTGGCCAACACCCGGTGGGACCCTAGGGAAGAAAGGGAAGGAGCCAGGAGCAGAGCTGCCATGGCTAGGTGTGTAGACCATTTGGGAGCAGGGCCACAGTGATCCCTCCCTTCCCTGTAGGCACACCCCCTTGCGGTATGATTGCAGCTCCTCTCATTTTTCCAGGAGTCTGTTTCTCCACTTTTGAAGCTGGGCTTGGTGATGTGACTTGCTTAGGCTAGTGGGACATTAGCAAATGTGATGTAAGCAGAAACAAGAAGGCAGATGAGTATTGGGACTTGCCCTCTCTTTCCCATGGGGACCTGTCCACTGTCATGTGAACAAGCCCAGCCAGCCTCTTGGGTGATAAGATACATGTGGACAAAGGTTCCAGGACACCCCATGAAGGATCCGTATACACGAGCCCATCCTAGATCACCTGGCCCTGCCTGAGCTGGCCCAGATCACAAGAACCATTGAGCCACTCCATGGAATCATGTAAAAGAATAAATGTAAATTGTCTTAAGCTAATAAGTTTGGGGGATATTCTCTAGCAAGAGCTAATCGGTGCACTTAAGTGAGGCATCTTCCAAAGGACCAGCGCTGAGTGCCATCTCAGCCACCGTCCAGCTGCAACAGTGTGTGTTCAGCAGTGTTCTCCCGAAGAATTTGTCATTTCTTGTCACTGGTCTATGGTAACAATATCTACGTTTGTGTATAGATTTGCCTTTATAAACACTTTCATCATCACAGACTCATTATGATATGACCATTTGTCATGGGTTTACTGTCCCCCATTTACTTGTCACGACGGGTGACACTGCCTGAGTTAGAGTGAATCTCTACGGATGATAAGAAATGAAATCTGAAGTTATTAAAGATTTTGCCCAAAGCAAATCCTCTAACCCCTAACAGAATGGTTTTCTCATGGCACTACCAGGCCGCTCTGGGAATACTGACTTGACTGACTTATTTGATTTTTTGTGTATTTCAGCTGCAACTTGAGTTCCTTCCCTCCTTGGACCCTGGCTTCTTCCCAGGTCCTATCCATCAACTTGTTTGGGAACCCCCTCACTTGTAGCTGTGAGTTGTCCTGGCTCCTCCTGGATGCAGAGAGAACTGTCCTGAGCAGGTAACATATTTACAAAGCAGATGGCTGAGGAGTGAGGGTCAAGCTTCAGGAGGTTATGTCTTGCTCACGTGATCATTCTGGGCACTTTGACTGAGTTGGACAGGGCAACCTGACCCCGTGTACTTAGGTGATGGAGGCTCTGGTTCATTCTAGCCAGCCCGGAGGGCAAAAGGCATGGAGGAGCAAACACGGGAGGTTTTCAGTGGGCCAGGTGGGAAAGTGGCGCTCCTCACCTCCACTCACATTCATTGGCCAGGGGGTCAGTCAACAGGCCACACTCAGCCACAAGGGAGACAGGAAAATGTAATCTGTGGAAAGGAAGTATGTGGGGTGCACAGCTTGTCTCTGCCAAAGCAGGTGCTATCATTTCCCTGTTTCACAGACAAGGGGAAGGGAGGTGAGGTGCTTGTTAAATTTATGCAGTCACTGGATCTATCTATCTTCCTCCAAAACTGTGCTCTGCTGAATCTCCAAGATGCATCCTGCCCTCCTACCCCTGGGTCACTCAGCTAGGCTAGTGGGCTTACAGAGTTCTTATGAGACAGAAAAAAAAGGATTCCTATGAAGGCTGTTGGCTAAAAGAACTGTTTTTGCAGTGGGGGACCACATCCAGACTGGCCACCAGGGGAGGATGGGTTGGGGGACTGGGGACCCTAGTCCTAAGCATTCTCAAACCATCTCCACCAGTTAACTGCCCCTCCCCATCCAGCAGGATTCTTTCCTCATCTTCCACCCAAATCCCAGCTGTAAAGTGAAGATTGCCTACAAACACAACACTCAGGCCCTTAACAGTGAAGGATCTCCCTCTGGCATTGAGGAAGAGGTTAAGAGTGCGGGCTGTAGTACTGCCAATGTGGGCTGAGCTTTTTAAGCTCTCTATGCCTCTACCTGCTCATCTGTAAAGTAGGGATAATAGTGCCTACCTCATATAAGGTAGTGCAGGTTAAATTAGTTGACACAGTTGAGTGTGAAGAGTAGTTCCTAGACTAATCCCTAACACGTGGTAAGAATTCAGAAATAGCAGCTAGTATGACTATTAGTACTAGTACTCACTGCCAGGAAGCAGACAGGTTAGAACAAAATGGCAAAGTCTCTTCTTAGAGAATCGAGACTCCCTCTCACAGTGCCTGCCTGGGTTAGGCTCTGCCACTTGCAGCCATGGTATCTCGGCCAGCTAGTTCCTCCTTCTTCACTTCTACTTCCTTATCTGCCCACTGGACGCCATGAAGGGAGCACCTTCAAATTTCCCGCGTAGTCAGTGAGGGTATGTGCGTGGCGCGCGCACCATGTGTTGACACCGCTTGGCCAGAGGGGGCCCCCGCATTGAGGATTCCAAGTCCAGCACGGAAGCATCCCTGAAGCCAGACATCTTCTAACTGGTTGGCTTCCCCTTTAGGGCAGCAGACACCGTGTGTACACCCGCGGCGGGATCCAGCGGCCCCTTCTCGGCCCCAATTTCGCTTTCCCTGCTGCCTGGTGTGTGCGAGTCGGACCAAACCACCACGGTTGGCGCTTCCAACCCACCCTCCATGGCCCACTGGGGCTATGCACTGCCCACACAGGGTCCCTCCAGCCCGCCGAGCACAGCGCCCTCCACCCGGCCTGCGGGAGGCAGACGGAGCGTCCCCGAGGCCACCTCCCCGCCTGCAGACTCCTTCACAAGAGCTGCGTGGCTGCCCCGCGATGCAGAGGAGGGGACTGCCCCCTCCACTGCCAACTCCACAGCAGGGCACAGCAACTCCGGCCTCCCACCCAGGGCCGCCAGCGCAGCCGGGACTGAGCACGGAGAACATGCTGTCAGGCTTGTCTGGGAGCCTCACAACTCAGCTGCCTCCACGCCATTGGGGGGCAAACACCTAGGCACAGTTTCTACCTTGTGGGACGGCATGAGTACACCCCAGCGCCACCAGAGCACGCGGACCACCACCCAGGCTCCCCACCCGAGTCATTCCGGGAGCGAGATTCCAATCCTCCTGTTGGACGACTACAGTGAGGAGGAGGAGGGGACGCCCGAGGTGGGAGCGTCTCTCCGGGATGTCCCTTGTGATTATCACCCCTGCAAGCACCTCCAGACACCGTGCGCGGAGCTGCAGAGGCGGTCGCGGTGCCTGTGCCCAGGCCTCAGCGGGGAGGACACCATCCCGGATCCCCCCAGGCTGCAGGCGGTGTCGGAGACGACTGACACGTCGGCACTTGTCCACTGGTGTGCCCCTAACTCGGTAGTGCACGGGTATCAGATCCACTACTTGGCGGAGGGCCAGGAGGGGAACCAGTCGGTGGTGAGGGACATCTATGCCACCGCCCGGCAGCACCCCCTGTACGGGCTGTCGCCGGGCACCACGTACCGCGTGTGCGTGCTGGCGGCCAACCCAGCGGGCCTGAGCCAGCTGCAGGCCTCCGGCTGGAGGAGTGCGTGCGCCGCCTTCACCACCAGGCCCAGCTTCGCGCTCGTCCTCGCCGGGCTGTGCGCCGCCTGCGGCCTGCTGCTCGTCAGCACCCTGGTGCTGTCTGCGTGTCTCTGCAGGCGGGCCCGGGCGCCACACCCGCAGCGCTACGACACGGACCTGGTGGCTTACAAAAACCCTGCCTTTGACCGCACGCTGGAGAGCCAGACCTTCCGTTAACCCAGCTTCCCCTAATCGAACTCTGAGTGCCGAAAGAAAGACGCAGAGGGTTAAAAACAGCCCTGCCAAGGAACAGCTTCCCTTCCTTCCACTTCACTGTGTTCCCAGAAATCCGAACAAGGTCAGACCACCAGGCATTCGGAAGCTTCAGCAGCTAGCGCCCATCAGTGCCCAGGAAAACAGCGCAAGGAAGAAGGAAGGGATAAAGCAGAAATCGCACGATCCAGACTCCCCTGCCCTATTAGAAATGACATACCCAGGTCTTTCCAGCAGAAGTCCGTTCCTTCAGGGTCAAGCTCTGGCTAAGGCACAATGAGCTGCATGTAATTCAAGGAATCAATTCCAGTGGATTCCAATTCCTGAGAACTGCGGGTGAAGGGGAGAGCTATTTCCTAAGGCCTTCTGGGTTTATTAGTTGCATTTCAGGATACAGAAAAAAAATGTACTTCCAGTTTTACAGTTAAAAAACTCAGTTTTCTGGGAATAACTAAAACACAGGAAAAGGCTGTCTTTTTAACTGCATTTCAACTGACACTAAGTAGACAAATGAACTACGAATTCCTTTTTTAAAAAGCATATGCTTACTTTCAGGAACTTTGTTATTATTTTTTAATTAGAGGGAAGAAATCAGAAGAGAACCTCCAGGCTCTAGCTAAAAACCAAAGTATTTCTCTGCTTCCAACTGATCAGATGATGCACTTTGTGTCAAAATTGTGCGATGTGTCTATTATACCCTTTTACACTTTCATACAAACAGGAAAAAAGTGATTCCATGACATAATTGAGGCCATGTTTCTAGATTTTAATTTCCTACATGAGCATTTAATTTTCTGTAGCTGCAGTAACACATTACTACAAACTGGTAAAACTGGCTTGAAATAAATTTATTTTCTTACAGTTTAGACCAGAATCCAAATTCAAGGTACCAGAAGGATTGATTCCTCCTGGTCGGCAGCAATCCTTGGTTTGCAGACATCATTCCAGTCTGTGCTGCCATCATCCTGTGGCATTTGGTGTCTATGTCCAAATTTACTTCTTCTCACAAGTATAGGTGAAACACCTAAATCGTCTCTTTCCCCTATAAATCGTCTCTTTCCCCTATAACCTTAGGCTTCATCAGATAAGAACAAAGAAATAACTGACATGTTCTTCATTAAGTTATGTTAAACGGGTTATATTGAAAGGATTATGCTTAAAGGTGTATGTTGGGTGGATTATCAGATTACCAGGGAGGAGCTACTTACAGGGCGGGTGGTTGTAAACTGTTTAAATGGATCAATGAGGTCATTACTGCATTGTGCTCATGTACAAAATTCCCTATATAAGCCAACTGCAAATAAAGAAGCTCGCCATTTTGCCTGAGCGAGCAGATGGTCACCTTTATTTAAAACACGATTTCAATAAGCGTGCTTATTCTTCGTGACATCGCTTTTCCGTGAGACCCTTACTGCAACACACAAGAGAACTAGTCTTTGGGTTAAGACCCACTATAATCCAGTATAAGCTCATCCTAACTTGACTGCATCTGCAAAGACCCTATTTCCAAATAAGGTCACATTCACAGGTACTAGGGGTTAGAACTTGAACATATCTTCTTTGGAAGACACAATTCAACCAATCACATTTAATTCTACTGTCAGAAAAATTCAAGTTTGAATCCATGTATCCTTTGTTTCCAAACCATGCTACAGAAACTGAGTATATCCCAAGTCTGCCCTAAATAAGCAAATTGTACTGATCTTTCTAGGTGTTTGTAGCTTTCAAAGAGCTTCCCAAAGCTCTTTAAGGTAGATCCCTAGTTTTATCACAAATGTAACCAAGAGCTGTAACCAACTAAGTGATTTAAAAATCTCTACCAGCTCCTACTTAAAAATTGCAAAGCAAACCAAGTGTGTTGTCATATGCCTGCAGTCTCAGGAATTGAGGGGTCTGAGGCAGAAGGATGGATTGAGCCCAGGAACTGGAGTGACCAGCCTGGGCAACATAGCAAAACCCTTGTCTAAACAAACAAACAAACAAACAAAAAAAGAATTGCAAAACAAGAGCCAAAAATGTGACTAGTCTTGAGATGTGTATCAGATGATCCCAATGCTTTTTTCTTTTTCTTTAGCCTATTGTCAATTCTGTTCTGTGAAGACACTGAAATAAATTTTCATCATGTTTTGAGCCTGTTTGCATGAATACACACTTGAAGAAGCCTAATACAAATCGAACATGTTTTATAAACTGGCAAAATGTATATATTTTGTAATAATTGATTATCCAAAAATATGAGGAGACTTGGAACATTTTTTCTAAGGATTGAGGTTCAAAAAGTATATTAACCAGAGCCAGACTAAGCCCCTAAGGGTAAGATTATGAGTCCAACCTGCAAATCACTCCAAATGGAATCTATACCTAGCTATAAGTAAGCATAACAAAGTGTAGAGTTCTAATTTTTTCAATAGCTAACTTAAGTCCTCCCTTCTTTTTTTTTTTTTTTTTTTTTGAGACAGAGCCTCAAGCTGTCCCCCTGGGTAGAGTGCTAAGGCATCACAGCTCACAGCAACCTCCAACTCCTGGGCTCAAGGGAATCTCCTGCCTCAGCCTCCCAAGTAGCTGGGACCACAGGTGCCCACAACACCTGGCTATTTTTTGGTTGCAGCCGTCATTGTTGTTTGGCGGGCCTGGGCTGGATTGGACCCAGCCATCTTAGGTGTATGTGGCTGGTGCCCTAGCCACCTGAGCCACAGGCACCGAGCCAAGTCCTTCCTTCTTTAAACGTCATTTTTGCGTGCTCACTTCACTGGTGCCAAGACACGCTCACTGTACCTCCTCAGTGGTTCTACAATAGCACTTTCCCCTGCAGCCTTACCACCTCCCAGGTATGAAACTGTATGGGAAGTCCCAGAGGGCTGGAGCAGCCAGCCCCACATGCTTCTTCTCTCTCACCCCCTCGTCTCATTCAGTGGCAGTGTCTCTAGCTACTGGCTTACATGTGCTCCAAACCAAGAGTGGCGAGACTCCCAGGCTGGGAACAAGAAAGCTAACAAGCCATCAGCAAGCCACAGAGGGGCACACTGATGCAGAATGTTACTGCCAAGAGGCACCAGTTTTACTTCTAAGTTCCCATTTTAATTTAACACAGCTCAACAGGCTGTGACTGGATGATTTCACTATGAGAGTCCCTATTACGCGTGGGCTAAAACCAGGGATACTGGGCAGCAACAGGTCTCCAGTGTTCGGAGGAAGAAACCAGCACTCAGCATTGTCGTCCAGGGGGGACCTCCCTCTTTCTATCCCACATTCTCCCAAACTTGACGGTGTAGTGAGGACATCTTTTAAACCAGATGGTCCCAAACCAGTTCTTCTTATGATGTAAGTGAATTAGAAAACTTATGCAACGGCAGAAGATAAGTATGCTACATGGCACAACCCAAGTTAAAAGGACAATTCTTTTTCCAGTTCTTTTATTCCTTAATTTCTTAACAAAAGAAGATTCCCCAAAGCTTAAAAAAAACTTTGAAAAATATACAGCTTCATATTATTTACAGAACATATGAGTACAGGTTCCAGTATCAAACAAACGTTGCATGTTAGAAACACAAAGGAAGGCATGACGTACCCACAGCCTTTAGATGCAAAGGCTGATGGACACGTTCTCATAGTTCAACCACCTTTGCTATTTGTTATCATACGTAAACTATTAGGCACCTGAGAAGTTGGAAGACTAATGAACATGAACTCCATACTTTCTATTTTGTTTGATCTTACTATTTTCAAAACTTACTGCATTTTAAATCCCTTTATAACTTAACTTTACTTCATCTAGCTCACTTCATTTTCATTATCCTAAATGAGCCGGTGTTAACCACATGAACTGTTAATGGGTACCTAGATTTAAAAACCGAACATAAAAATGTAAGCTAAGCCAAATTGTGTAGAATATATATATTTAAAGACAGGAAATTCCCTAGTGCTTTGCAAGCAATGTAAATTCTATTTAAAGAGAGGTGTGTGAATTCTTCAGTTTCCATACTCTGGAGTATGTTTTTAAAAAACATATAAAAATTGACTGACAATAATTAGAATAATTGATCTCTCATAAATTAATCAAGAAACCTAAGATTACAAATTCTAAATTTTAGTTGTATTCGTATTTAAAAATACATTGGAAATTCTGCATATGCCCATGATCAAGCTTATTTTCAAAGCACATTACTTAAATTTTGATGACATGGTTTGTTTTGACAGGTCCTTTTTCAAGCTGAACACCCAAACTGGGAAACTCCTGTGGATTTCCACGGGACCTGCTGCCAATGACGTATATTGCTTCCTTGCTAATGGTGATGGGATGACTTTCATCAGCCTTTTATCACCTGAACAGTTTTCCGACCATAATGGTAATAACTGTACGCTGATGCAGCTGTGGTGAAAGCTGTAAAACACCTTTTATGGAAGGAAAGAAATAAAATTTAGTTTGTCATGTCTGAATCACAGTAGCAGTGAGAATCACAATGAATACATGTAAAAAGGCTATACATGTAAAAAGGCTACGGGGTGTCATTCTTTTCAACTCTAAGAATCTAATACAAGACTTCCTGTGAATTAGGTGTCTTATGTCCTCATTCCATTCTCACCACAACCTCAACCTCAATCCAAGGGAATGGAAACCCAGTGGGTTGGAGCCTATGACAAAACTGCGTCTGAGCCTGGCTGGTTTTGCCTCTGAAACCGAGGGGCTCTTTCCACTGCTCCGTGCTGCTTGGAGCATCAGACTCTATGTCCTGAAGCTTTTGACAGTTTTAAGGATATCTGAAGTCATTTTAAATAAATTTCTGCTTCCTTTACCAGTTTTTCCTTAACCAGATTCTTCTTGATATGGACAGGAGTCATGTCCATGGCATGCTGAATACTCACAGAACTCACACTTCTGCCCCCACCAGGTGAGGCACAACCTTTCTACACTAATTTCTGTTTGATCCAATCCTGTTCATGCCAGTTGGATATCCTAAATTCATACATAAACCAGTGAGACATATTAGTAAGAACAATTGCTACATAGGAGAACCAGGCCGGATGTTTTGGAAAAACTTGATAAAGGTGAGTAGGCGAGATGATCATGAAGAGACTGGAGAAAAAATGTTAAAAATCTAGACTACTGTTACTAAGATTGTTTTGCAAATGTCCTAAGTTCTTGTATCAACTTAAGGAAGAAAAAAATGAAAACTGGAGAGGTTGTATTACAGATGTAGTTTATTCAAGAGAGAAAAAAACTCCTATTGATGGATCTATAATTTAAAAAGCCTTCATTCTATATCAGAAGGTATTAATGCAAGATCAATCAGATTGAATATATACTTATATATATTATGGTAAAATAATTAAATTGGGCTGGGTGCAGTGGTTCCTGCCTGTCATAGCACTAGGGGAGGCTAAGGCAGAAGGATCACTTAAGTCCAGGAGTTTGAGACCAGCCTGGGCAACACAGTGAGACCCTGTCTCTAAAATATAAAAATAAAAAAATTAGCCAGGGAGGCTGAGGCGGGAGGATCACTTGAGCCCAGGAATTTGAGGTTACAGAGAGTTATTACTGGGCCACTGCACTCCAAACTGAGCAAAAGTGGGACACAGTCTCTAAAAAGAAAAAAAGTTTAGAGTAATGTTTCCCTTTTAAAGATTTCTTTGGCTTAACTGACTTTGATTAATGCAGGATTTTCTGACCCAGAGTGCATCAAGAAAGTTCTAATTATAGAGTTAAAAGTATGCCAAAGTATGGTACTTCAGTATCAATGTGGCACATTGAAAGTTTGGATTTGACACAATTTCAAGACTATAAATAAGCAACTAGCATAAAAAAATAAAATTCAAACTCCTTTCTTCAGTTTCCCCTCTGATTCTACCCTTTTCCAATAGGATAACTCACTTGCCTTTACCCCGTGCTACACCCTGACTCTGCCGAGGATCATCCTACACCTGAGGGCCTCTATTCAGACTCTTCCAGTACAAACTCCACGTACACCTGGCGGCTCAAACTCCAGTACAAACTCCACCTACACCTGGCGGCTACACCTGCTACTTGCTCCCTGAAACCTTCCCTCTTTTACCTACCTGGAAGTATCTTTTCCTCCTCTGAAATTATAACACACCATCAGTACCTCTTGTCCCTTCTAATTGGCACGAAAGCTAGCTTCTACATACCATCCTTACTAGTAAACTTTTTTTTTTTTGCAGTTTTTGGCCAGGGCTGGGTTTGAACCCACCCCCTCCGGCACATGGGGTCGGCACCTATCCCTTTGAGCCACAGGCGCCGCCCTACTAGTAAACTTTTGAAGAATGGTAACTATAGGCTAGGTGTGGTGGCTCAAACCAATAATCTTAGCACTCTTAGGCTGAGGCAGGTGGATTACTTGAGTCCACATGTTTAAGATCAGCCTGAGCAAGCGTGAGACCCCATCTCTACTAAAAATAGAAAAACTGAGGTAAGAGGATCGCTTGAGCCCAAGAGTTGGAGGTTGCTGTGAGCTATGATGATGCCATGGTACTCTACCCAGGGGAACAGCTTAAGACTCTGTCTCAAAAAAAAAAAAAAAAAAAAAGAATGGTATCTATAATAAAATATAGCCACAGCTTTACCCAGTCAATGCTTAATAAACACTTTAAGAACAAAGTCAAAGTCATTCCAGGGCTACAACAGTTGGCCATTCTCAGAGAGTAATTCTAAATTTAGTTTACCAAGGCACAGTGGCTCACACCTGGAATTCCAGCACTCTGGGAGGCCAAAGCAAGAGAATCCCTTGAGCTCAGGAGTTCGAGACCAGCCTGAGCAAGAGCCAGAAATAGAAAAATTAGCTGGGCATAGTGACAGGTACGTGAGGTCCCAGCTACTTGGGAGGATGAGGCAAGAGGAACACTTGAACCCAGGAGTTTTAAGGCTGCTGTGAGCTAAGCTGACATCACAGCACTCTAGCCTGGGCAACAAAGTAAGACTTTGTCTCAAAATAAATAAACAAATTAATTTAGTTTACCACAGCATCTGAAGATAAATGCTATCAGCATAATTGAAAACTGGAGCTGCCAAAGAAGCTGCCACCAAGATTAACTGGACTGCTGTGTTTACCTGGAAGAAAGAAAAGGAGCAAGTTATAAACAAATAGTGCCAACTGGGTTTTATTTCGAGCTTGCAAGACAGAGGCAGCCATAGCCCATCCCATCACAATGTCACACGACAGACCCTCTGTGTGTTTGACGCTGGTCTACAATATGCCTGCCAAAGAAGCTGGTGTTCACAAATGAGAACACACAGAAGGGTCAGCTTCACTACCTGCCTGGTCTTCTGCACAGCTGCCCTTTACACGTGAAGGTGACGGAGCAATGAGTTACCTGCTATCACAGCAGACAACAGAGACAAAGCTGGAACCCAGTTTTCCTGGTGCCTCAGCCCATGATCCTCTCACCTGTCAACCCCTGTGAGGCCAGAAAATTAAAATGCAATCATTTCCATAAAAGAGCCTCTCTGGAAGAAATGAAAAGCTTCCTTACCCTAAAATACAGAACTAGGGGGAAAAAAGATCAGAACCAGAAATGCACTGGTGACTCCCTCTATCATTGCCAGCAGCCTCTGTGAAGAGTCTATGAGGTAAGAAACAGTGGGTAAACTTGGCGCCTATAGCGCAGCAGTTAGGGCGCCAGCCACATACACCAAAGCCGGCGGGTTCAAACCCAGCCAGGGCCTGCCAAACAACAATGACAACTACAACCAAAAAAATAGCCGGGCATTGTGGCAGGCACCTGTAGTCCCAGCTACTTGGGAGGCTGATACAAAAGAATCACTTAAGCCCATGAGTTGGAGGTTGCTGTGAGCTATGACACCATGGCACTCTATCCAGGGCGACATAGTGAGACTGTCTCAAAAAAAAAAAAAAAAAAAGAAAGAAAAAGAAACAGGCGGCGCCTGTAGTACAGTGGTTACAACGCCAACCACATGCACCAAGGGTGGTGGGTTCGAACCCGGTCCTGGCCAGCTAAACATCAATAACAACTGCAACCGAAAAATAGCTGGGCATTGTGGCAGGTGCCTGTAATTCCAGCTACTCAGGAGGCTGAGGCAAGAGAATCGCTTAAGCCCAGGAGTTTGAGGTTGCTCTGATCTGTGACAGCACAGCACTCTACCGAGAGCAACATAGTGAGCCTCTGTCTCAAAAAAAAAAAGTCCTTCCCCATTTCGAGCCTCAATCTACCCTCTGTAAAATGGGAGAATGGGCTCGGCGCCTATAGCTCAACCGGCTAAGGCGCCAGCCACGTACACCTAAGGTGGCAGGTT